TGTTTTTTTATATGTTGCAGTACTTGTTGTATCGAGTTGGGAATTCATTATTAAATTAAAGTCTCCCCCACATATACAAACCCCCTCCATTTCCATTGCTAACATATTTAGTATATATTCATAAAATTGTTTATTACTTTCTGGTGGTGCGTATACATTGGCTAGTGTTACCATCTCATTTTCTATCTTTCCTTTGATTATGATAAATCGGCCTTCTTTATCTCGGACCTCTTTTACATTTTCATAGTTCTGTGAATTAGATATTAAGATTGCCACCCCTCTTTTCCGGCTATTGGGACATGAACTATAGTATGTATTTTTAAACCCAAGTTTTTTAAGTTTTTCGTGTTCTTTCTGTGATAGATGGGTTTCTTGTAGAAAACTAATTTGTATTTTTTCTTTTTTGATTTTATTTATTATTTTCGCTCTTTTTATTGGATTGCCCAGCCCATTTACATTCAGTGACATTATTTTGATTTCCTGGTTTTTATCATACATCATTTCTTATTCTTCTTGTGTCTTACCCTTTCTCTCAGTAAGTTCTCCCTTTTGTCCTTGCAGATGGCCTTTCTAGTCTTGAGATACATAAAAAGAAAGAAAAAAATAAAAAAAATACTGATACAGAATAAGTAAATAAAGTACCCCCGCCCCCCTTTAAGAACCCCCTCCTTGTAACAACCAAACTTAGAACCTGTTGCTACAAGGTAACTGCCTTTGAACTTCCATGTTGAGATGCCCTCTTGTGACTCTCTACCCCTCCTCTGGGGGGAATGCCTTCCTTTCCAGAAGGGCCCCCCTACCTCCCTTTCTGTCTCAGTCATTCCACTCTAAACCGTGCCTAGTGACACTCGTTAACCAACATTTTTAAACTTTTTACCTTTATACATGTTCGCCTCATTTTCCTAGAGCGATACTTCCCCTTATTTATTCCCCTCCCTCTGTCTTTTTTCTCCTAAGTTCGTATTCTTGCAGACGTTCTCTGACTCTGTTCTTCAGCATTCCGTTATCCCCCACCTTTTTCCAGCTCGCCGGCCCCTTCGCATTAGCCTCTTTATTCTTTTGCATTTCTTCCTCTGCCATCTGGAGTCCTTCCACTGCGCATCCTCGTGACTTCAGGTCCCTCACCGCCTCCTCCGCGCTGTTGTAGCTCTTCATTCCGTCTTCCCAGAAGATGCGCATTTTAGTGTAGGGCGTTTGGAATCGAATTTTCATGCTTTTTAATTTCTTCTTTATTGGGAGATACGCCTTTCTCTGTTGCAGTACTTTTGCAGTGTAATCATGATCGAAATACACTCCCTCTCCCTCAAACATAATTTTTTTCCCCTTCTCCCAGGCTTTGTTCAGAATCATGTCTTTCGTTTTACTTTGCTGGAATTGTATTATTATGGATCTGGGTGCCTGCCCTTCCTTCGGCTTGGGCGCCTGCGCTCTGTGTGCGCTTTGTATTTGCAGATCTTCTTCTAATCCTAGTTCTTTCTTGAGCCATTCTTCTATTGTCTCCTTCAATTCGGATGGTTTAACTTCCTTACTTTCTTTGATTCCATACACCCTTAAGTTGTTCCTCCTTGCTCTTGCTTCGATGTCCTCTAGTTTGTCTCCGATGTATTTCTGTTGTTGTAACATGTGCTGTATGGCCTCGTTAGCTTCACAGCTCCATTGTTCGAGCTCTTCCGTTCGTGTTTCTCCGTCTTGTATCCTTTTCGTTTGTTCTTTAATTTCTTTGTCCATATTATCAAGTAGCTTATTAATATCTCTCTTGAAGTCGGTCAACTCCTTTCTCATTTCTGTTGTAATCTCCTCTTTGTTCGCCTGGAGTTCGGTCTTCATTTCGGCAGTTAGTGTTCGTATCTGGAGGCTAATGCTATCCAAACTAGCTACTCGTGTTAGCTCTCCTGTAGCCCCCACTGTTAGCATCTGCTTTGTGTCCTTACTTGGATCTTCTGGCTGCTTTTTGCTCTTCCCTTTGTTCGTTGTACCTCCGCTCATTGTTGCTTTTCCTTTTCCTTATTTTTCCCTTTACAGTTCAGGCGTTTTCTAGTTCGTGTTTATGTTGGTTATACGGAGCTCTTGTCACTTGCGTCTGTTTCACTCTGTCGCCATACCGGAAGTCCGTAAAACGGACATTTAACCAAATTGTGACCTTTACCCTCTTGCAATTTAACCTTCCCCTCACCCCCATCCTAACCTTAACCAGCTTGCACATGCAAAGCTCTGATTGTTGACGCGCTCCAGACATCTGCGTCCTGAGCACGGCCACAGTAACATTATCAAGTCAGGTGTCGCCACCTCAAAAACTAATTTAACACGCGATCGTTCATGTCGGCTCATTTCCTTTTATGTTTTCTGTCTTTTATTTGTGCCTGATGCGTTTCGCTGCTGTGGATCAGGGCGCATCACCTGTTTTGTCCTCGGTGACGCACCGATCACTGATGCGGTCGGTAGCTCTTTTAGAACTGCAGTTCAAAGGTAACTCATGAGGTGAATATATATGAACCCAGGCAGCAGTTTCTCTTTAGGACTGAGAGGAGATGCAGGAAGATAATAAACAGGCAGGACAGAAAAATAGTCAAATAAAAACAAGTTAGTTGTTGTACCTGCTGGTTGCAACAAACAGACACCATTGAAGGTCATCAGAAGTGAGGAACAGAAAATGAAATCATTATTTTAATGTTTAGAGCAGCAGGAACTCCGAGAGGCTGCAGGCGCATCAGTGAGTTTGCGGCTGCTGCGCAGGGGGAGGGGTGAGGGGGCTGAAGCAGGGGGAGGGGGGAGAGGGCTGAAGCAGGGGGAGGGGGGAGAGGGCTGAAGCAGAAACTACCGTTGTTAAAAGAAATGTGTTTAACTTTGAAAATGTGGGCGCAATTTTAATTGTCAAAAACTCCAACGAACCATTAGTTCATTTTGCTCAAATAGAAATAGAGGCCTGCCTTTAATACTGGCCCTCCTTCCAATAAAGGCCTGGAGCTTGGTGAGCTTGAGTCAAATACAGGTCCGGGCCTCTATTAGAGGATTTACGGTATCTGGATGTTATTTTAACTGCAGTTGCAGTGTTGCGCCACTACAGGGCGCTGTATCAGCAGCGGTGCACCGGAAAGCACTAAAACCGCTGCAGACAAAGATCAAAATTGCTTTTCTCGTTAGGTGGTACATATGTATGGTTGGTGCTGTTGACGTCCTGATTTTTCCCCAGGCTCTTCCATATCAGAGCAGGGCTGTACCTGTCTGTGTCTGTCTGTTAGTAAACTTAGCACTGGTGCAACATCTTGGAATTACTATTTTCCCCAGAACTTTATTGAACAAAAGTAAGTTACGTGTAAGAAAAATGCTTTTTACTGGCGCACAGTGTGGTCATCTGGATGTGTGGAGGAAAATAAAGGAACCAGCAAAGGCAGAACCGGTCCAACATTTGGGATCAAAAGTGCAGCTACAGCTAATTCTAAAACTAACGGGTAGCAGTCTCGCGATCAAGTGGCGCACAGAAAAATATATGATGATGATGATGATGATGATGGTAAAACTAAGAGAGACTAAACTCTACAAGTGGATGAAAAGTCCCCACCATCCTGTTTATTCTGCATCCTGCAGCGCTACGGACCAGAACCGCTGCAGATACGAGTCACATTACTGCTACAAGTCTGCTCCACACACAGGAGCAGGAGGTACGGCATGCCGTTGTAGTACATAATTCTCTAACGCTTCCATCTTTGAACATAATTTAAACTAGATTATTGCCTACTCGTACATAACAGACCACCGTTACATAGTTAGCAGCAGAAATTACATGCTATTAGCATTTCCAGCACAAATGCATGTTAATGAAATGTATTATATTTTACTGGATATACTTATGTGTTATTTAGACTAAGATGAGTGTTATTAATACAAAACTTAAATGTTACTGAAATGTAGGTCAAATATATAAAATATTTAACTATAAATATCAGATGGAAAAAGGAACTAAACACCAATCTGATGCATATTATTGAGCTTTCATAATATTTAGCCTTTAAAAAAGTGAGGTAGCTGAATGCACAGAGTACGCATGTGCTGGTGCACGGTCAGGATGGTACCACCTCTGCCTCAGTGTGAGCCAGGAGAACCCTGAAATGTAAGAGAACTGTGGAAGTGTCGATCTCGATGTTTTCATCTTTGAAAATAGACCAGTTGGTACTATCAGTGGGGCGATGGATAAAAATGTCACGGTTGGGATCATATCATGGTTTTCAGTCACAGATTGGATAGTTTTTCAGATCGGCAGAAAGAAGAAGGAATAGTGTATAAATTTTGATTTGAATAAAAATAAGAATGGAACTAAAATCAGTTTCTGATCACAGTTAAAGCCTGCAGGGTTGCTGAGTGTGAGCCAGCTAAGGCTGCAGCACTGGAACTTTCCACTAGATCGTAGTTCAACACCGGCCGGTGAAACAGCAGCGTTTTAGAAGGAACACAGCCTGTAAACAGGATAGGTATTCCTTGTTCCCTTAAGAACCCGTTTTAGTTTTACTCTGATATCAGTTGAAGCAGGCTAGAGACCAGCGTTGAGCTAAGAATGCTAATGGTGAATTAGAAGCAAATAGCTCAAAAATAGCTCAAGCTACTCTTTCACTTACCAACAACTGGATACTACAGTCAAATGTACTTATCTACTTATCAGCTTACTGGGTCTGACTTGTCTTCACTCATCAGCTAGGGTCTTCTGGTGCTGAGCCCTAACCGGTAACAGCTGTCATGACTTCTTACATCATCCATCTTTAAATCTGCTTACCGTTTAGGCTCATGGGTATTCCTAACCCTAACCAGGAGGAAAACAGGTGCTGCAGAGGCGGCTTGTCCACTCGTTCCATCTGGTTTCTGCACCACTGCCTGTGTTGACGGCTCGTTTTGAAGTGAAACTGCTCTGTGGCGATGTGAAAATACCTTCTGTACTCTTACAAAATGAATGTTCTGATCGACCTTTTGTCCCCATTTGTGTATAAATAACCTATCTTTGTTTTTTCAAGCAGGAGGGAGCTTTGTTACCCAAAGGGGGCCTAGCTGTTCACTTCAAGCCGGTGGTGCCCTGGCCTCATGTGGAGGGTGTGGAGGTTGACCTCAACTCTATCAGATTCAAACATGGTGAGAGACTCGGAGCCCCCGTCACGGATGAGGCACAGAAGCAAAACATAACATTTTATTGATCATCGTGTAACTGTGGATATATTTAGATATGTTATTTTGAATCAGATCAGTGATTTTAATAAAACCCATCCATCCATTTTCTTCCGTTTATCCGGAGTCGGGTCGCGGGGGCAGTAGCCTAAGCTGAGAGGCCCAGACTTCCCTCTCCCAAGCCACTTGGGCCAGCTTCTCTGGGGAAACCCCAAGGTGTTACCTGGCCAGGTGAGAGACATAGTCCCTCCAACGTGTCCTGGGTCTACCTTTAGGCCTCCTGCCTGTTGGACGTGCCCGGTAAACCTCACCATGGAGGCGTCCGGGAGGCATCCTGACCAGATGCCCGAGCCACCTCAGATAGCTCCTCTCGATGTGGAGGAGCAGATGTGCGTTCCAGCAAACCTAAAATGTTACTGAAATGTAGATCACATGTTTTTCATAATATTTATAAAGTATAATTATCAGATGGGAAAGAGGGAACAAGACAACACCAATTTCATACATATTGAGTTTTTTTAAATAAGTGTCTGACATTTTAGCCTCATAATTGAGTTGTTTTCATTCATATTTTTAGCCACAGACTACAGTCTGGTTTCACTTGAAACGTCAATATTTGATTCATCGACAGAGGATTCAATAGACCATTTGAATACTAAAATATTCGATAGCTGCAGCCCTATTTCAAACAACACAACGTGCACTAAACCAAGGTACACCTGAGAAGGGAGAAGTTGCTGTTCCAGAATGACTGAATCGAACGATTGATCATGAACTTGTTGGATTTTTGTGAGCGGAGGATGTTTAGAGTAAAGTACGGGAGTGAGACTCACCGGGAATCTGCTGCAGTGGCTGCTTGTTTTTGTGTTTTCATTGTGCACTACCAGTGTTTGTCAGTGTGTTTTATTTTTTCTTTCTTTCTACCGTGTCCTGTCCGGCTGTGAAGCAATCAGAACGGATGTCTGAATGCTGAAGACAAGCCTTACAGTTTTATTCTCGTAGGTGGAGCTTATAGCTTCTTATAAAACGCCACTCTTGATACTAAAACTTTATTAGAAATACTTTTCGCTGTTTAAAATCCGACGGACATGGAGGCAGAAGTGTAAGAGAAAGGGGCAGAGAGAAGTAATAGGTGTGTGGGTGGGGTTCACAAAATTAAACAATAAATGATGAACAAGAATCTGCTTCTAGGCCTGCAGAAAGAGAGAGAGAACAAGGGGATACACAAAATACAACAAGACCAACACATCAATGCACCAGCAACATGAGGATATATAAAAGGAATTATTTTTGCTGGGAAATACATGGAAATACTTCACGTTGCATTTAGTGCCAACCACAGCCACCGCACAGGTGATGTGTTGAACGTGCCCAAGTCCATACTGATGAGAGCACCATGTGGGCACCTGTGTGTGTACACGCACTTGTTTATGTAAGGTTTCTCTATAGAAACGTCCAATAGAGAGTGTGAGGGGCCACAGATCTGCCCCCCAAAGATATGTAGGAGACGGAAGTAGCTCCAAGTCCCAGAGATCCAGGAGCTGCCCCAGAGCACAGGAACCCCAGGGACATTGTAACCAGAAAAGCCCCCGCCCCCCTCGAGAGACGCAGAGGATTTCCCCGGGGGGGCACAACAAGCAGCCGGCAGAGTCCTGGGAGATATCAGCGACAAGCCCACAGGCCCGCCCGCAGCCTCCCACCCCCTAGCCCGCTGAGCACGGAACCCAGCGACCCGGGACCCAGCGACCCGCGACCCAGGGGTGACCACCCCCGCCGGGGACCCAGCAGAGCCCAGGGACTCAGATCCCATCAGGCAGCCACCAGGATCGATCAGGCAGACGCCAAAAATCTTAAAATCCCTGACCCGGGAGCAGCGGACACTCAGGCAGACCAAGGCACCACACCCCACACCAAGTGTGGCAGGGGAGGGGAGGCAAAGATGTACAGCAGCAAAAGAAGTCCCAGGAGAGGGGAGGAGTCAAAGGCCCCACCTGACACATGAGACGTAGTCCCTCCAGCGTGTCCTGGGTTTTCCCTTAGGTCTCCTCCCAGTCGGATGTGCCCTGAAAACCTCACTAGGGAGGCATCCAGGAGGCATCCTGACCAGATGCCCAAGCCACCTCAACTGGCTTTCTCACCCGCACCCCCAGCAGAAACGGCCGAACTCTGGGAACCGAAGATGGTTGTACCCTATGTGCAGTAGTACCAGGACCAAAGTGAATAGGGTGTATATGGAGAGCATGAGTGGGTGTCTAGCGTTCATTTTTCTGTCTAAGGTCGTGTGTGTGTGTGTGTGTGTGTGTGTGTGTGTGTGTGTGTGTGTGTGTGTGTGTGTGTGAGCATGAGTGGGTGTCTAGCGTTCATTTTTCTGTCTAAGGTCGTGTGTGTGTGTGTGTGTGTGTGTGTGTGTGTGTGTGTGTGTGTGTGTGTGTGTGTGTGTGTGTGTGTGTGTGTGTGTGTGTGTGTGTGTGTGTGTGTGTGTGTGTGTGTGTGTGTGTGTGTGTGTGTGTGTGTGAGAGCATGAGTGGGTGTCTAGCGTTCATTTTTCTGTCTAAGGTCGTGTGTGTGTGTGTGTGTGTGTGTGTGTGTGTGTGTGTGTGTGTGTGTGTGTGTGTGTGTGTGTGTGTGTGTGTGTGTGTGTGTGTGTGTGTGTGTGTGTGTGTGTGTGTGTGTGTGTGTGTGTGTGTGTGTGTGTGTGTATGTGTGTGTGTGTGTGTGTGTGTGTGTGTGTGTGTGTGTGTGAGAGCATGAGGGAGGCAGTGTGTGACTGTGTCTGTATATGACTGTATGTGTCAGGTGGAAGTCTGGGCGTCTCGGCTTAGGCTACTGCCCTCGCGACCCGACTCCGGATAAGCGGCTGAAAATGGATGGATGGAACATTCTGGATCTGTTTCTTTGCTTTCTTCATTCTTTTTTTTTATGTATCAAAGTCACAATCAGGGTTTTATCACCATATGTGTGAGAGCCACAGCATCAGGAAATTGTTGCGGTAGAAAGATTAAAAATAAGAGATAATCAAATACAGGAAGTAAGAATATAATCATGATAAAATAATATAAAGTAACAGTACTTAGAGAGACGGCTGCTACATACAAGACAGTGTAGGTGCTAGTCAGAGCAGATCAGTTCAGGTACAAACACAACACCGTGTCAGGTGACTGGAACCACACAAGGATAGTTGTTCACGAGTCCAACAGCAGAGGGAAAGAAACTGTTCTTGTGGCGAGAGGTTCTGGTCCAAGTGGATCTGAGCCTCCTGCCAGATGGGAGCGAGTCGAAGAGACTGTGTCCAGGGTGACTCGGCATTGGCAAATGCTCAAAATCAGATGACTGTGACTCAAGCCAATCGAACCTGATTGGGACACCCTAGGCCTAATGAAGGATGAACTCATCAGACTTTGTGTTGCATTTTTTCAGCTTTGGTGCTTGAGGCACTAAATGGTTTAAAAGTTTGACGAAACGTGCACAAAATTTGGAACAAATCCAGGTAATTGATGTCATTCAAATCAAAATGTTTTGTGGAGGAATTAACAGATCGTACAAGGTTGTCCCCAGTGCTTTATAGGCCTCATGGGGCCCAACGCCAGGCTAAGCAACATTTATTTATTTTAAATTGTTTCGTTAATGCACCAAATTAACATTTAAAATGCTCCAATCGGAGTATAAATGAAAACTCACAGTTTGCTTAATAGAAATTTCCTAGAATAATTTTGTATTGATTCAAGGCTTCGTTAAATGCACCAGACTCAAATTTACTCCTACACATTTTACAGCCGCACCATGTTGGTGATCACCAGTGATCGCGGGCACACTTTAGGAAGATTGACAAACGATAAACAAAAATTCGTGCAGAAGCGGGCCAAAGTTTGGGCCAAACTCAAAGAAGTGAAGACATAGTCGTGTCATGGTGAGGTTCAGGCAGTAACCCAATCGCAGGAATAGCAAGCCTTGGTTCAGGTTCAGGGTTTTCAGTAACCAAAATTCACAGGGCACCTGGACGGAGCTGTAGCTGACCTGCACAAAGCACAGAAACAGAGATGATCAGAGAACCAGTAACAGAAACCAAAACCACAAATCTAAATAAAAAGGAGCAACTCATAACAGGCCGAGTGTCTGCACTGTAAAACAAAGTTATCTTACCATAACAGCCCAATTTCAGTCCAAAGCCCCCTGAACAGGAAACGCCCAATGTTAGCCAGCCTCGGGAGAATCCACGACCACGCAGGCTGATGCTCATGATAATGGGTAGGACGCGCGCTCCAAGTGGGGACAGGAAAAATGCACATTAATGGTGTTCACGTTAAACTAAGACTGAATAACTTTACAAGTGAAAGAAAAAGCCCCACCATCTTGCTTTTGTAAGTAAGTTTTATTTCTACAGCACTCATCACAGACATAGAATCACTACGTGCTTCACATAGATCAAAACAAATGAAACAAAGTCATAAAAGTCTCTAGCCTGGCCTGCCAGACTCGTCCTCTGGTTAAGTCTGCACAGAGAGAGAGTCTGGTACTCACAGGCAGAGAGGCACATGAGGGGCGGGACTAGGCAGCTCAAAAATAACCAATCAGAAAACAGACGGAAATGCCGACTGTAGCTTACGACACTGTCGTTTTTTTTAGCTGTGGTCTAAAAGTTGAAGATATTTCCTAAGTGATAAAAACAGTTTGATTGGTCAAAAACACTCAAATTCCTCAAGTCACTACCCAAAGCTCGTGACCATAGGTGAGGGTAGGAACGTAGATCGAGCTTTGCCTTCCGGCTCAGCTCTCTCTTCACCACGACAGACCTGTACAACGCCTTCATCAGACGCAGCGCCAGTCCGCCTGTCGATCTCATGCTCCGTCTTTCCCTCACTCGTTAACAAGACCCTGAGGTACTTAAACTCCTCCACTTGGGGCAGGACCTCATCCCCGACTCAAGCATGGTCTCGGATTTTGAGGAGCTGATTCTTATCCCAGCTCCTTCACACTGGCTCTGTGTCCCGCTCCAGTGAGAGACAGAGATTACGTTCTAGTTGAAGCCAACAGGAACACATCATCTGCAAAAAGTAGAGACAGCAAGCAGAGTGTTGTTAACGAATGGCTTATAACCACATAGTAGTCATAGTTTTAAACTTCCTGACAAAAATACTTTTCTAAACAAAAACACAGTGGGCTGCCCACGGGCTTCTCTACCACCAGGCTTAGCGGGTTTTCTGGAGTAAACCCTGTCAAATACAGAAAAGCATCCTTGGTATTTACAATGTAGTACAACGTTTGCTAACTAGGTGGCGCTCGTATATCCAAAACTGCATTTTACTGATTTTTTTCAGAAGTTAAAATTTTGAACAAAGGTATTCTGTCCTGCTTGTTTGTTGTGCTGTCAGACTATTAATTATATACACAATTAACATATTTTGAAGACATTTGAAGAACATAGTGTGGTAGAGGTCACCTTCACTGAAGAACATGTTCAGTAATGATTCTGACGGGTCACTCTGAGTGATTCATGCAGGCTGAACATGAAAATAGTCTCCTACACCTATCTCCTGCAGTAGCTTCTGATAGAAAACAGATGGTGAAACTCTAGGATAGAAAATCCTGACAGATCTACGTCACCCTGTCACTACCATTCATGGACTCACCCATATGGACTCACGACAGGGAAGGCTGTTGTTGGTTTAGTCCAGGAAACAGCAGAGAACGTCTCAGCTAGTAGAAACTAACTGTTAGCATTAGCAACTCCACCACACAGCAGAACTCCTCCAGACTTGTGTTATTGGTGGAGATGTGGTGTCAAAATGTGTACAAGTTCAAGGGTATAAATACATTGAAAGGCACTGTAGAAGGTGTGAAAGTGTCATACATAGCTCTAGACCATCTCATAGGGTCCGGGGCCTTTAGGTGGTAGAACTAAAACAACTGTTAAAGTAAACTATTGTGAGTCTTAATGTGATAGTTGAGAGGAAAAACGGGAGCAGAGCTCAGCAAACGTTAAGTGATTTCTGATTCTGGTCTCCAGGAGAAGCCAATCATCAGGAACTGGACCAGCAGCATAACCCAAATCAGGTCATCCAGCAGCAGTATGTGACTTTCAAACCTCAGACACATGCCTACAACAGTCCTGTGTTAAAGAAAGGTATTCTGGGAAATTTGGAGCCCAAGGAACCAGAGCCGCCAGGGATGCCTGGAGGTCCTGGAGAGGGAGCCAAGCCGTTTGTGCTAGGTCCAGAGTACAAGGACTCTGTCCAAGCTTCAATCAAAGAGTTTGGCTTCAACATGGTGGCTAGTGACATGATCTCCTTGGACAGAACAATCAGTGATATACGACATGAAGAGTGAGTACTGCACTTTACTTTGAAAATACTCGGCCACATATTCTTCAGAAAGCAAAGTTCTGTCTTGTGCAGACAAGAACTATCTTTGTAGGACCTGTGATGAAAGCACAAGATGCGTCTCAGTTGGTCAGGCCAGCAGACAGGAATTAACAAAGATCTCAGTCAAACCAGCCATCTTTCTTTCTGGAAACGGTAGCAAAGTCGACCACGTTCGGCTTTGACTCTCCTTAAAGGTGCAGTATGTAAGAATATAGTGAGATTTTTACAGTGAGAGAGTCCCTCCTCCTCATTTAGGAGGGAAGGTTGTACTGAAACATGTTTCGTGGTTGCAGGAACTAGGGTTGCAGAGATGAACTGGTTTGACTGTTTACCCCAGTTACCCCCCCCCTAAAAATGTCACCAACACCACCACTAAAGCCGGGCGTACACTGTGCGACTTTTTCACTTTTTTGAGCCGATTTTCCAGTCGTGCGAGAATCCACGACATCGGGGCGAGTTTTGCGCCGAGCGGTCGTGTACGGGGGGTTACGAGAGGCGATTAACACCACGTGACCAGCTGCCGATCAGCAGTCGTGAGGTCGCACGGACTTCTGGCGTGTTTAATATTTCGCTCGTCCCTCGTGAGGGTATCGCACTGTTGAAGCGGCGCTGCGAGCAGCTGCGAGCAGCTACGATCCAAAAAGTATCAGAACCGCTCACGGCGCATGCGCGCGCAATCCTGCATCAACGCCGGCCGGCCGCTCGCTATTTCCCTAATAACACACGCTGTTCGTTTTTGTTTCTACACGTTTTTTTACTCACAAAGGTTGTCAAGAAAGCGTGTTTGTCGTGTTCATGTCAAATTAAACTGACCACAAAACACAGATTCACTTTCTTTATTTCGTTTTCCTCATCCAACCCCCATAAATCCCTGTGTGTCCTCCTGCAGCACTCCCGAAGGACAACAGGCAAGACACAAAAGTCTGACGTGTTGAGTAAAAACTGCTATTTTTAGCACATTTTAGGGCCGACGTGTTGCTACCAGACGTACAGTGTGAGCAGTCAGGTCGCATGCGAGAACTGGGTCGTGCAGTGTGAGCGCACGACTCGTGAGATCTGCTCTGCGAGGAAGTCGTACAGTTTGAGCTGAAGCTGAACGCTGCGAGTGAAAAAGTCGCACAGTGTCCGCCCGGCTTAAAGCAGACCTGCCAACCTTGTCAAATTTTTTGAGTACCACTCGTGCGCGGACTTTTGCAACCGTTGCTTTTCACGCTGTAATCTCCCCATTCACTGGATGGAAAATTTTATACACACACACACACACACACGCACACACACACGCACACACACACGCACGCACACACACGCACGCGCACACACGCACACGCGCACACACGCACGCGCACGCGCACACACACACACACGCACGCACGCACACACGCGCACACACACGCGCACACACACACGCACACACACACACACAGTTTACCTTACCGGAGGGAGAGAGGAGCAGCGTGCAGGACGAAGCGGGGAGGAGGGGGCGGGGGTGTTACGCTAGGTTAGACAGGATAGTTTTTTTTCTTTGCTTCTCTACGATGATTGGCTTAAACTTCTTCACCACGCCGCTGAGTCGTGTTGACACGCGGTCTCTGCGCTCCTCTGGCAGCCGTCTCCTTGTCATCCCTAAAGTCAGGACGCATACTCACGGCGAGGCGTCATTCCGCTACTACGGTCCTCGCCTCTGGAACGAGCTGCCAGGAGACCTCAGGGCTGCTGAGAACGTTCATGTTTTTAGAAACGGGCTCAAGACCCATCTATTTAGCTTAGCTTTTAACTTTTAACACTTTTTAAATTATTTAATTACTTAGGTTATTTATTTATTCATCAATTTTTTTATTTATTTAATGTATTCTTTCTTTATACGTGCTTTTTAAACAGTTTTTTATTACCATGATTTATGATCAACATTAATATCTATATAACTTTTTATATTACAATTCTCATTTTAGCTCTTTTGATTTTATATTTTAACCTTAATTTAACCTTTTTCCAGTGCTTCCTCTGTGGGAGCCCTCTGCCCCGGCGGCAGTGGTCGGCTGTGGTGGCCTGGGTGCTTTCCAGGTGTGCCTAGGTGCAGGTGGGGGTCTCTTCCCTCACTGCCCTGGGCGCCCTGTGTCGGTGCTTCGGCTGCTGCTGTGGATCTGCTGCTGCCGGGGCGGATGACTTCCCTTGGGGTGACGGTGGCACAGGAGTTAAGTGCTCACCCCGCAATCGGAAGGTTGCAGGTTCGAGTCCCAGTCAGTCTGTCGCTGTCGTTGTGTCCTTGGGCAAGACACTTAACCCACGTTGCCTGCTGGTGGTGGTCGGAGGGACTGGTGTCGCCAGTGCTCGGCAGCCTCGCCTCTGTCAGTGCGCCCCAGGGCAGCTGTGGCTACATCGTAGCTCATCACCACCAGTGTGTGAATGGGTGAATGACTGGTTGTGTTGTAAAGCGCCTTGGGGGGTTCCAGGACTCTAGAAGGCGCTATATCAAATACAGACCATTTAGCATAATTCATGGTGTTTCCTTATCTTAGCTGGTCTGGCTCATCTGATCTCAGTCAATCATGTTTTTTTACCATGGGGAAGGAGGCATGTATGTATGTGCGTGTGTGTGTGCGTGCGCGCGCCTGCGTGCGCGTGTGTGCGCGCGTGCGTGCACCTGCGTGCATGTGTGTGTGTGTGCGCGCGTGCGTGCGTGCGCCTGCGTGTGTGTGTGTGTGTGTGCGCGCGTGCGTGCATGCGCCTGCGTGCGTGTGTGCGTGCGCGCGCCTGCGTGCGTGTGTGTGTGTGTGTGTGTGTGCCGGAGGAGGAGTGTTGTGGAGGGTTTTTATTGTCAGACTGTTTTTAAAATTCTGGGGATGGGAGGGAATGTGGGTATGTGGGGCCTTTTTAATTTGTAAAGCACTTTGAGTTGCGTGTATTATAGGATAAAGTGCTATATATATATATATATATATATATATATATATATATATATATATATATATATAAAGTTGACTGATTGTCAGACATGAGTACCACACGTGCATATTTGCCACAGAACTCAACTCACGTATGCGTAGCTTGATGCGTAGTTTAGAGGGGTGAGTCGTGCCAGAGTAAACAGATGTTTCAAGTTTCAAGTTTATTTATATAGCACCAAATCACGACAAGCGTCGTCTCAAGGCACTTTTATTTATTAAACCTTTATTTATCCAGATGAGTGGACTGAGAACACATTTCATTTCCACCAACGATCTGGCCAAGAGGTAGGGATGGGTACCGAATTCGGTACTTTTTAAGGTACCGACCGAATTCCATAGTACCGACCGAGCACCGATTCACGTCATTTCAAACGGTGCCTCGTTTCGGTACCCGTCCATCATAACAAGAACTTGCCTAGACAGCTGCGCATGCGCAAGAGCGCTATGTCGTCGGTCGCTGCGAACCAGTTGTAAACAGAACAGCATGGTAGAAAGAACGTACGCTAACGCTTGGGTCCACTTCACTAAATGTAATGGGTAACTGGGTGAAGACGAAACCAGTGACAACGATCTAAGTGTGAGGCATCATCGTTTTAATCTGCTCCAGCAGTTAAATAAACTGTTTAAGATAACGTTAGCTTAGTATGTTAGCTTCCATTGCTACCATTGTTATCAGCTAATGGTGCGTTCGCTTTCTCCTCGGAAATTCTAATTCCCCAGTAGGAAAAATCAAATGAAAAAAGACGGCAAAAGGAATGAAGATACACAGTAAATTTAGTTCACAGTAAAGATGTTTGCTTCAGTTTAATTATCAGCTTATAAAACTACAAGGACGATGTTAAAATACAAACAGTTGTATGTTATTTATCGTGATATATATCAAATATTGTTATATATTGTGAAAAATATATATTTAATTATAAAAGAGAATAAAAATAATAAACACTCAAAAGTATCGAAAATTGGTACCGTTAAGTACCGGTATCGACTCGTAGGTACCGAGAATTAATACCGGATCGATTCAAATGTCAAAGGTACCCATCCCTACCAAGAGGTCATGTGGTCATGTTATGTGGTTGATCACATTATAACTGAAATGAGGAACCAAACAGTTTCATGAGTTCAGTTCATGAAAAATGGGAGCAAAAACAAAAGTGTTGCGTTTATATTTGTGTTCAGTGTAGTTAAAGGTGTGGTTCACTGAAATTTTTTTTTAATGATTATGTCTGACTTAACGGGTCACTGAGTGTTTCACTCAGGCTGAACATGAAGATAGTCTCCTACACCTCTCTCCTGCAGTAGCTTCTGATAGAAAACAGACTCTAGGTGAAACTCTAGGATAGAAAATCCTGACAGATCTACGTCACGCTGTCACTAACATTCATGGACTCACCCATCCGGACTCACGACGGGGACGGCTGTTGTTGGTTTAGTCCAGGAAACAGCAGAGAACGTCTCTGCTAGTAGAAACTAACTGTTAGCATTAGCAACTCCACCACACAGCAGAACTCCTCCAGGCTTGTGTTATTGGTGGAGATAAAACATCAACACTGCACATCAGTAGTAGAGTGTTTTTCTCCACTGAGCACCCACTGTAAGTCTTCTGAGCATGCGGGTCACTTTGTGGCCGTGAACTGTTTACATTGGAGAGTGTTTGGCATCTCGTTTCAGTTCTAATGTGAACAACCACATAAAAATATTCTATTTACTCAAAAAAGCAGAATTGATCAAAACTTGTAGTGTGAATGAAGCTTAAGACATCTTTATTGTCTTAGTTGGACCCTAAAAATGTGTCAGTTGGGTGGATTGAATTGAATTTTAAGTAACTGCAGTGACACATGAGGCCTGCAGAATGACTGTATCTTCTCTTCTCCAGGTGTCAGTACTGGCATTATGATGAACGGCTGTTGACGTCCAGTGTGATAATAGTCTTCCATAACGAGGGCTGGTCAACCCTCATGAGAACCATCCACAGTGTCATTAAGAGGACTCCTAGACAATTCTTGGCTGAGATTGTCATGATAGATGACTTCAGCAACAAAGGTTTTTTTATCCGTCATTTCTGAAGACAATTCTGTCTTGTTTCCCTTCAGCAGTCGCCTCTGCATGTCCTCTGTCTTCGTTTAGTCCTACTAGAACAGCATGTGTTACTAGCTTTGAGTTTCTGCTACCTATCGAGTGGGCTGGCTGTAAAATTCAATTAATGTTACAGAAAACTGTGTGTGGGTGCACGTGTGTGCACACATGCTCATGTTTGTGTGTGCGTGTGTGAACGTCCGTGTTTGCAGTCCATTTGAAGGAACGCTTGGAGGAGTACATCAAGCAATGGAACGGTCTTGTAAAACTCTTCAGAAATGAGAAAAGAGAGGGCCTGATACAAGCCCGGAGTATTGGAGCCAAGAAGGCCACCAAAGGACAGGTAATCCCTGACGTTACTCTCTATTCTCATTCCCTAGCTTGAAATCTAAGAAGGTTGCAGACAGGCTGCTTTTGGGAAGTTGTTAGTAGGGATGCTCGATGTTGGCTTTTTTTAACCGATATACCAATATTGTCCAACTCTTAATATCTGATACTGATGTTAAACGATACCAATACACACTACCGGTCAAAAGTTTTAGAATGCCCCAATTTTTCCAGTTTTTGTTGGAAACGATGCAGTTTAATGTCACACTGCACTCTGAGATGAAAGCATAGTACAAATAAGCAGTTGGGAGTTAAAAAAAGAAATCATGGAATCAATTTAAAGACCAAAATGTGTTCTAAACTTCTGACTCATCAGAGTAGCCACCTTTGGCAGATATAACAGCTGAACAGTGACACACTCGTGACATTCGTTCTACAATAGAAATCAAATGTTCTTCAGACAGTTCTTGCATATCTGTTGCAGAAGTTCCCATAGATGTGTGGCACTTGTAGGTTGCTTTGCTTTCACTCTTCTGTCCAGTTCATCCCAAACCTGCTCCATGGGGTTTCAGTCTGGATTCTGCGCTGGCCACTTTGTGTTTACAAGCTCACCATCTTGTTCTTTTTCCCGAGGTAGTTCTGGAATAGCTTGGACTTATGGTTTGGGTCAATATCTTGCTGTAGGATGAACCCCTGACCAACTAGGCGCATACCAGAGAGTACTGCATGGTACTGGAGAATGTTTCAGGGTGCCCCTCACTCTGTACAAGTCACCGACCCTGGATCCAACAAAACAGCCCCAGACCATCACACTTCCTCCTCCATGTTTGACAGTTGATGCCACACACTGTGGAACCATCCTTTCACTACTCAACGGCATACAAAGATCCTACGTGATGAACCGAAGATTTCAAATTTGGATTCATCAGTCTTCCAGTCTTCAGTAGTCCAATGGCGGTGTTTCATGGCCCAGGCAAGCCTCTTTCTCTTATTCTGACGTCTTAGCAGTGGCTTTCTTGCTGCAACTCGTCCTGTCAAACCTGCAGCTCCAAGTCTTCTCTTCACAGTTGAAACTGAGACTTGCTTACTACTACCACTATTAAGCTGTGCTTGAAGCTGTTGTCCTTTGAGCCGCCTATCACACAAGCTGTTAACTCAAAGAAACTTGTCCTCTGATGCACTTGTGGCTTTGAGTCTGCCAGACTTCTTCATGTTAGAGTTTGCCCCAGTTTCTGAGTGTCGTTTGATGGTGGAGTTATTTATTCTGTTTCCAACAGCAGCTGAATCTCATTGTCTCTAAAGGTGACGCTAAGATGTGTTTGTTAGTTAGTAATGTACTTTTAATTTTTCTGTATATTGTAGATATGGCGATAAAACATTTATAAAGATCTTCAGCTAAAAGCAAGCCTCAGCGGAAGATTTTGTTTTAGTTGTAGTCCATTGTCACTACCATTAACATATAAATATTGGACAATGGGTTTCCATGGGCTCCAATTATAAGCTTTTGTTCTAAAATGGGAGGTGGCCACCACCGCCATTTTGACCGTGTCACAGGTCCCGTCAAGCCCAGACAATTCCATAAAAGGGAAGAGAGGTGGGGCTGAGGGTGGGGCTGTAAGGCTGGGATCAGCTGACGACACCCGGTCGAACTAGCTACAAGCTAACCTGAAGCTAACCCAAAGCTAACGGAGGTAGCAACCTAGCTACAACCGGAGTTAACTGTGCACAACACCAGAGCTTCTGAGTCAGAGATACGCTGGGCTGACCGCTGGGTAAAACCGGGTGGAACACAGAGGTCTCCGAGAGCTCCACAAGCCGGCAGCCGCACAGCAGACAAGCGCCGCTGCGATCTGAGATGCGCAGAGCTGCCGCTGGGGAGAACCGGGTGGAAAGGTTTCCATCCAGAGCTCCACAAGCCGGCAGCCGCAGAGAGGACAGAAGCTGCGATCAGACAGAGATGCGCCGAGCTGCGGGGAGAAACAGCCGGCATTCCGGGTGGAAAACATCGGTCTCCCGAGAGCTCCACAAGCCGATAGTGGGAACCCAGCTCCACCAACATGTTCTATTTCAACCCATTTTCTAAAGTGCAGCATTATGTTAAATGCACTGGGTTTTACCCTATTACATTTAAATGTCATGGTTAAACAGTACATGTTAAAATCTAAGCTCAGCTCGGCAGTGACCTAAAATACATAAATATAATTTTACTTACTGAAAAAAATTAAGTGGAGACTCCTTGGACGCTCTATTAGTGCAATTAATGCCACAGCAAGTCATTTTGTCCAACAATTGCACAAATAATATCCAAACAAGAATACACAAACACAGAGACTCAAAATCCCGGAGCAGTTTCCAGGCCAGACCGAGGCTCTACTGAGGCCTTTCCACGGAGCTAGCTCTGTGGTCATGTGGGTCTGATGCTCATTAATTATACAGAATTTTAGGCTTTTAATACACTTAAACAGAAGAGTGAGAAAAACATTCACCCCCCTCAGAGTTGTCATGAGTGTAAACTAGATCATTTAAACCTAAAACATGTTCTGGTACCAGGCTGTAAACATGTTTATTTCTGCTGTCAAATTGGTATTTTTAACATGGGAGTCAATGAGGATTTGCTCGCTTCTGACACCAGCCCCTAGTGGATGAGGGTGGAACTGCAATTTTTGGTACTTCCGGGTTTGACTCAATTTTTCACCTGCATTGTGGGGGCTTGGTCACTACACACGGCAAATTTCTACTTTTATTAAGGGTAAAATGATAATATCAGAAGTCCTTATGAACTAGTTCTAAATGAACAGCTGAGATGTGACTCCACCCCGAGGCCACATGGACACACACACACACTGCTCAGTATAAGTGAGTTCACCCCCTTTAAAAAGTATGAATTAATCGGTAGCTCAGTGGAAAAAAAAGAACAATTTCCAGATTTTTCACAAGGGTGGGTTTTATTGACCCCTCCCTGGGCTGCCACCTTACCGTGGTGGAGGGGTTTGAGTGTCCCAATGATCCTAGGAGCTAAGTTGTCTGAAGCGTTTTGTGATAGGGTCACCCATGGCAAACAGGTCCTGGGTGAGGGATCAGACAAAGAGCAGCCCTTAGACCTCTAAGGATGAATAATATCAATGGAAACCGTGTTCCCTCGCCCGGACGCGGATCACTGGGCCCCCCCTCTCGAGCCAGGTCTGGAGGTGGGGCACGTGGTGAGCGCCTGGTGGCCAAGCTTTCACCCATGGAGCCCAGCCGGGCACAGCCGAAGAGGAAACGTGGATCTCCCATAGCAATTATTACATGTTAATTATGACCAATAAGATGTGATTTTCCATATAAATATGAATAATCAATCTGATTGATCTTTGAATGTTTAATCAGAAGATTCTAGAGTTCTTTACTTCTTTAGGGATCATAAACACACTTCGTATTAATTCAGAGTCGGTATATAGTTCATAAAATGAATTTATTTCTTTTTCTAAACTAATCATTTATACATGACAAGATATGAATAATGAGATGTGGTGTGGTGGATGTGAGGTGTTGTGATGGAAGCTAGATGTTGTAGCAACCGTTCTGTGTATCTGAGAGAAACTGTGAACTCTGGGTGTAAAAGAATTAGTTGTTTGGTTCTAAACTAGAGTTGTTTATTTAAAAACAGCATCAGACGCAATCTGTCGTGCCAAGTCTACGCACCCTTGGTGTAGAGGTTCTCGTTTGATTTGGGGGTCGATGGTCACTGCCGGTGGAGTGAACTCATATCAGTAACCCGTAGATAGTTCCGATAGGACCCGTCCAGGCTGAGATCCCTCGAGGTGAAGGCCGAAAGCTGGAATGCTTATTTCCATCTAAGGTTGATGTTTGTGTGGCTCTAAGAAGAGCCGGTTGTCTGGTATCAGCTGCAGCGTTGCAAAGAGGTTTTGACTTAAGGGCAAAGGATATTGTTTCAAAAGAGGTTTCTTTCCCGATTATTCGGGAAGTAATTTCTTTCTTGTTAAAACACAATGTTATGATTTCTGGCCATCATCCATCCATTTTCATCCACTTATCCAGAGTCGGTCGTGGGGGCAGTAGCCTAAGGCGAGAGGCCCAGACTTCCCTCTCCCCAGCCACTTGGGCCAGCTCCTCCGGGGGAATCCCGAGGCGTTCCCTGGCCAGGTGAGAGACACAGTCCCTCCACCGTGTCCTGGGTCTACCTTTAGGTCTCCTCCTGGTTGGACGTGCCCAGAAAAACTCACCAGGGAGGCGTCCAGGAGGCATCCTGACCAGACGCCCGAGCCACCTCAACTGGCTCCTCTCAATGTGGAGGAGCAGCGGGTCTACTCCGAGCCCCTCCCGGATGACCGAGCTTCTCACCCTATCTCTAAGGGAGAGCCCGGCCACCCTACGGAGGAAACTCATTTCGGCCGCTTGTATCCGTGATCTCGTTCTTTCGGTCACTACCCAAAGCTCATGACCATAGGTGAGGGTAGGAACGTAGATCCACCGGTAAATCGAGAGCTTCTCCTTCTGACTCAGCTCTCTCTTCACCACGACAGACCGGTACAACGCCCGCATCACTGCAGATGCAGCACCAATCCACCTATCGATCTCACGCCCCAGTTTTCCCTCACTAGTGAACAAGACCCCGAGATACTTAAACTCCTCCACTTGGGGCAGGACCTCATTCCTGACCCGGAGAAGGCATTCTACCCTTTTCTGAATCAAGACCATGGTCTCAGATTTAGAGGAGCTGATTCTCATCCCAGCTGCTTCACACTCGGCTGCAAACCGCTCCAGGGAAAGTCTGATGAGGAGGAGGAGGTCTTCGAAGTATTCTGCCCACCGATCCACAACGTCCTGAGTAGAGGTCAGCAGCACACCGTCCCCACTATAGATAGTGTTGGTAGCGCACTGCTTTCCCCCCCTGAGGCGCTGGATGGTGGACCAGATTCTCTTCGAAGCCGTACGGAAATCTTGCTCCATGGTCTCACCAAACTCCTCCCATGCCCGGGTTTTTCCCTTGACGACCACCCGAGCCACGTTCCGCTTTGACTGCCAGTACCCGTCAGCTGCCTCTGGAGTCCCACAGGCCAAAAAGACCTGATAGGACTCTTTCTTCAGCTTTACAGCATCCCTAACCGCCGGTGTCCACCAGCGGGTTTGGGGGTTGCCACCACAACAGGCACAGACGATCCTGCAACCACAGCTTCGGTCGGCCGCCTCAACAATGGAGGTACGGAACAGGGTCCATTCAGACTCAATGTCCCCCGCCTCCCCCGGAACATTTTAGAAGTTCTGTCGGAGGTGGGAATTGAAGCTCCATCTGACAGGAGACTCTGCCAGACGTTCCCAGCAGATCCTTACGATACGTTTGGGTCTGCCTGGTCTGACCGACATCCTCCCCCACCAATGGGAAACACCATTGCTAAACATGGCTTACATTATCACATCTATGCTGATGACTGTCTAATTAATCTTGTTTAAAATCAGTCAAGTTCCATTAATCAGCTTCTAGAATATCTCAGAAACTAAAGCCTGGCTAGCTTCCAATCTTCTAAAGCTCACTGACAATAAGACCGAGGCCATTCTCTTCAAACCAGAAAATTATTTTTCATACATCTGCTGCCTTTTATCTCACCCCTTAAATCTTAATCCCAGTGTGACCAGCCTTGGGGTTAAACTGGATTTGTCCATGTCTGCACATGTTAATGCCACTGTTAGAACCAGTTTCTTCCAGCTTCATCGCCTTACCCGACCAAAGCCCATTCTTAAGAGGCTGCGTCTAGAATCTTTTATTTATGCATTCATCACCTCCAGACTGGACTATTCCAACTGAGTTTTCATCTGTGTAAGTGCGTCCGCCCTCAACCGTCTACAGAAAGTCCAGAATGCCACAGCAAGATTTCTTTCAAACACAAATAAATGCTCATAGTTACATCACTTTCATTCTGGCTGATCTTCACTGGCTTCCTGTGCACTATCGAGTGAAATACAAAGTTTTAACTTTTGCCTTCAAAGCCCTGAATGGTCTTGCCCCCCTATACCTGTCAGGGCTGCTCGCCCCCTACATCCCCTCCAGGTCACTAAGGTCTGCTGACCATTTACTGCTCCGTGTTCCCAAAATGAGATATAAAGCTCATGGGGGGGGGGGGGGGGCATGCGCTTGCTGCTCCGACTTTGGAATGCCCTCCCTCTGGTGGTGCGCCAGGCTTCTTCACTGGCAATGTTTAAATCCAAATGGTAAATGGCATTTACCATTTAAATCTAGCCTAGAGACACATTTCTGTTATTTAGCTTTTGGCCAGTGAATGTTCTTTTGTGCTGTGCTTCTGTCTTTCGTGGCTGTTTTATCTTTCTGTTTTGATCTTAGTTTTTTTTTATGACTGTTTGTGTGTGTGTGTGTGTGTGTGTGTGTGTGTGTGTGTGTGTGTGTGTGTGTGTGTGTGTTTTATGTGTACGAAGGTGAATTAGAATTTTTATGGCTTTTTACCTTTAAATGCTTTTACACTCTGCAGCACTTGGTCAGCTGACATGCTGTTTTTAAATGTGATCTACAAATAAAAATTTGGATTGGATTCAAAATAGCCTAAAGGCCAGAGCGAGCGTGTTCAGTAGCTGAGGACCAGGTTTCTAAGGAATTAAAGCACAAACGTAGGCAGCTGAAGTAAACATTTCTGCTTCATATGCAGGCGTCTAATCTCTCTCTTTACTTGGAGATAGATTAGTATGTGTACCAGATATAAATAGATATTTGCATTAGTTCTAAAATACACGGTAGTGTCGAGCACTAGCAGGACCACTGGTCAAAACTGTTCTACTGTATGAGATGTCTTTTTGTCGTAGGTTCTGATCTACTTGGATGCTCATTGTGAGGTTGGAATCAATTGGTATGCTCCACTGGTCGCACCCATTTCCAAAGACAGGTAAAGTACAAGAACATTTCATCCTAACAGAGCTGTGATTGACAAAGACCTTAAGAGTCGCATTATTAACTCATTCACTGCCAGCCGTTTCCTGATCAGAAAGCCCCTGTCTGCCAGTGTTTTTGAGTATCTTTACTGTTTATTGAAGGGTCACAGAGAACATCTATGATGATGTCAATGCCAAAATGACCACAACAAAGACTAGACTCACTTTTTCCATCAGCGTGTTTCTAGCGTTATCTGTACTTTCATAATCCGTTGTCGAATTGTAAGCTGTAGAAGTTTTTCCAGTTGGCGCCTCGCTTTTTTCACAGCCCAAAACGATCTCCTAATTCATGAATTTTCTGCTTCCTGATCATGTGAACTGTGACACACACGGATTAAGATCAGCTTTAGAGGCGTGATGTTAATTCTCACGATGCCGGGGCCCTTTCTGACGCCTGCCCCATTAAAAGAATGCAACTGTGGCAGTAAACGAGTTAAATGACCTGTATCATGCTTATTTACACCTTTCAGAGCAATGCCACATGCTGCAGCAACAATTCAGTCAGAAGGAAACTGAAACTGAAATGTAGCTGCTGTCAGTAACAGTGTCACAAATTTCAAATGTAAAAACTCTCAACTAACTAAATAGTTCAAAAAAGAAAAAAAAGTCTCACGACTTTGCGTGTAAGAGGTTTTTATTTATGATTATTACCTCACCTTCCTCCGCTGGTCCGGGTTTCGGGGGCAGCATCCCAAGCAGGGCCTCCCATGCAATACTCTTCCCGGCCAAGTCCGCCAGCTAGTACTCCTGAAGTGCTCCCCACAGGGTGCCCCTGGGAACATGGTTATAAGCCTTCTCCAAATCCACAAAACACACGTGGATTGGTCTGGCAAACTCGCATGACCCCTCCATCACCCTAGCAAGGAAAAAGAGCTGGTCCACAGTCCCATGACCAGGACAAGAACCACATTGATCCTTCTCAATCTGGGATTCAGCCATCGACCAGACCCTTCACTCCAGTACCCTGGAGTAGACCTTTCCAGGGATGCTGAGGAGTTGTGATCCTCCTATAGTTGGAACACACCCATCCAGCTGTCTGCAGCACCTTTGTGGACCAGCAGAGGACCTCCAGCTTTGACAGGAAATGCATGCTTGAAGCAAAAAAACACTTTGGGGTTTTTTCCTTAGGAAATTATAAAAAATGGTCAAAGCTCCAAAAATGAAAACCTTTTCATGATTTAGGACCTTTACACTCATTCACATTCTCAACTTATGTTGTTGGTTTGTTTTTGAGACAAAGTGTTTGTTTTCTGTGTTGTTACTTAAGGTGTACAATCCACAGACTAGGATTAGCTGTTTAGACTGTTAAGTACAGTCCAACCCTCTTATCTCATCTTTTTGGCCTTTCGTTTTAGAGAATATCTTTTAACTTCAGTAGCGTGTTGGAGCCTTTCAGAAGGGAACAAAAATGAGGTTGATTAATTTTTTCCCCACAGTTTCAAGATTAAAGTCAAAGTGCCGAGAAACAAAAACGGTAAATAGTTATTTTAACAGTCATCTGAAGAAGTGGACCATGACTCTGAGGGTTTTGGATAAAAGGCGAGGTGTAGTACTTTTTTCCCACCCAGTGTTGAGAACAGCAGCAGAACATCCTTCAAATCAAAGAAGCTGAATGATGGTATTTAAAATCTCTGAGAGCAAATGTATAGACAGCATAATAGGTCTGAAGTGGTTTGATTCATTAAATTCCTCGATTCATTTTTTTACTGATTGAAAGCTGTTTGTTTCAGTTAAGCTCCGCCCACGCCCACTTCAATAAAACGTGCCAACAACAGCTCCTTAGGCAAGTCAGCTATTGTGTTGGACCTTGGTAGTCTAGCGGTTAAAAGCATCTGTCTTTCATCTTGCTTTGCCATGTGCTGCCGTGGGTTCGACTCCCGGTGGTGTGGGCCATCCATCCATCTTCGGCCGCTTATCTGGGGAGAAGGAAGGCCCAGACTTCCCTCTCCCCAGCCACTTGGGCCAGCTCCTCCGGGGAATCCTAAGGTGTTTCCTGGCCAGCCAGGGGTCATAGTCCCTCCAACGTGTCCTGGGTCTTCCTTTAGGCCTTCTCCCGCTTGAACGTGCCCAGAAAAGCTCACCAGGGAAGCTTCCTAACTAGATGCCCGATCACCTCATCTGGCTCTTCTCGATTTCAAATTCAGTTCAAATTCAAAAATACTTTATTAATCCCAGAGGGAAACTGATTAATTTTGGATCTACTCCGAGCCCCTCCCTGATGACCAAGCTTCTCACCCTATCTGTAAGGGAGAGCCCAGACACCCTGCTAGGAAAACTCATTTCGGACGCTTATATCTGTGATCTCGTACTTTAGGTCACTCCCCAAAGCCTGTGACCATAGGTGAGGTTTGGAACGATGATCGACTGGTAAATCAAGAGCTTTCCCTTCCGGCTCAGCTCTCTCTTCACCACGATAGATCGGTGCAACGCCTGCAGACGCAGCACTAATCCACCTATCGATCTCAGCACAGGTGCCACCGGTCCTTCTGACCACCACCGGCAGGCAACACCATCATTCACCTAGTCACACACTGGTTGTGATGAGCTACATTGTAGCCACAGCTGTCCTGGGGCAGAGCCGAGTCTGCTGTACACAGGTGTCACCGGTCCGACCACCTCCAGCGGGCAAGGTGGGTTAGGTGTCTTGCCCAAGGACACAACAGCAGAACTCTCTGGTTGGGGCCAGGATCGAACCTACAACTTTCTGATTACTGGACAACCTGCTCAACCCGTTGAGCTACTGCTGCCCCAAGAAAAGCTGCACACAGAAAACAGAATCGGTGACTAAGGGCAGCCTTGACAGCGTGCGACTATCGCTGGGAATGAGCCCGATGGGGACCAGGCTCTGACACCGGTCATACAGGGACCTCACAGCCCGCTGGAAGATCTAGTCTAGAGTTATTCTATGAGCATCTAAATACGTCCTGATCATCTTCCAAATGCTGCTCATTTGTTTGTTTGTTGTTAAATTTTGTAGGGGCGTAGGTGGCACAGGAGTTAAGTGCTCGTCCCGGAATCAGAAGGTTGCAGGTTCGAGCCCCACTCAGTTTGCCGCAGTCATTGTGTCCTTGGGCAAGACACTTAACCCCCCTCACCTGCTGGTGGTGGTCAGACGGACCGGTGGTAACAGTGTACGGTAGCCTCGCCTCTGTCAGTGTGCCCCAGGGCAGCTGTAGCTACATTGTAGCTCATCCCCACCAGCGTGTGAATGGATGAATGCCTGACTGTGTTGTAAAGCGCCTTGGGGGGTTCTAGGACTCTAGAAGGTGCCTAGTCAAATGTAGACATTTACCATTTGTAGAAATAATTTAAATTGTTGTATTTCTCTAATGGAATCATTAAACTGCTAAACATGAAAGTTCATGTAAATTACAGCTGTGTGTGTAGCTCTGCATAGATATAAACACAACTTTTTGGTACGCTGTTATATACGCGTGTGACAGCTCATCACTATCATGGTTCAGCTGTTACTGCACTAGTGAGTCCACATGGTGAAATCCTTATCTGCACTGAGGTTAGCACAGGTGAAACTCACGATGGTGCCTAAGTACCTTTATTCCATTAAAAGCAAAGGTGCAGATGCCAGAAGTCTGATACTTAAAATCCATGTTTAATTGATTTCATGTAATATTCGGATAGTCCGAGATGTTGAGTGTGGCGTTTTCATCAGCTGTATCCGAGAAAAGGAAAAATACAACAAATCTAATCAAAAGTACATACCTGGCGGCTTCTACTGCTTCCTCCTCAGTGCTTTAGCCGTTCACACACAGAACCTGATCATCCGTCCCACATGTGTCCCTCTACTATCTGGCTCTTGTCAGAACAGCACAGGAGGCTGAGCTCAGAGTGGGATTGAAGGAAGCTGGATCAATCAGTCAATCAATCAAAGATACTTTATTAATCCCAGAGGGAAATTAGAGTTTCAGTACACACAATTCAGAGATCAGACATTCATGGGCAAGACACAAGACAATAATTGGTGACTGTGGTCATTCGCAACCCTGAGTCGCGTTACCTTAATAGAGATAAGAGGGTTACACGAGGATTGGTTCAGGTGGAGGGAAAAAAAAGGCACTTCAGAGTTGCCCTCCCACCAGGAGGGCAGCTTTGCTCTGCAAAAAAACACCCCAACAGATATGCAACAGACCTCAGACAACACAACATAGGTGTCCACTAGGTGGGGTGGTGGGTTGGGACTATCCCTACTTCAGTTCCTGCAGCCACGATAAGCAGCACATGTCACCTCAGTGTGGATGGGGGAGGAGCATTGGGGGTTGGAGGGTTGCAGTGACCCTGGAACGTTTCAGCGGCCTTCCCGCAGTCCCGCCCTGGCTGGGAAAGGAGACAGAGTTGAGTTGCCATAGCGACGGCTCATTCCACATATCTTCTGAGGGGGGAGTTTTCGTTGGAGCCTTGCAGGCTCAAGGGCAACAGATTCCGATTAGAAATTGTTTTGGGGCCAGACAGAGATAATTTCCTCTCTGTCTTACAGTTTGTTGGTCCTCAACCTCTCAAAATCCCAATATTGGACATTAATCTATCCCAATCCGTGCTGATTCGTCCACTCTCTCCTTGATGGTATCCATCTTTTGTGCCAGAGAATGAATCTCGGCCAAAGTTCCAAGCTTATGGTTCATCTCGACAATTATGTGAGTCTGTGAATTCACAGCGTGGTGCAAACCATCTCTGAGCTCCGGGAGCAGGCCAATATTCCTCGACAGCTCGTTAATTTTCCGGTAAGCCAGGTAACCTCCAAGGCCAATGAGCAGGAAAACTGACACCAACACACGAATATCCACACGTCTTCAGAGTCCTCCACAGACAGCTGAGATAGACAGATCAAGTTCCACTGTTTCCAGGAGTCCATGATGTGTCCCAACTGGGTCTGTCCCAGCGGAACATCCGGGAGCCCCTTCTCCCGTTCTCAGTCGCGTTGAGAGACCCAATTAACGAGATCCATTTAAGTGAATTTCAGTTTCCAGTTTCCAGAAAAATGCAGAAGCAGCCGTGCACCCAGCACACACAGACAGACAAAGGCCTTGAGGATAAGATATGGAGGAGAGGAGGAAAGCGTCTGCACCCTCCAAGAGCCGGAAGAAGATGGGAATATCACTGGTTTGGTTCAGCAAATTGGCATATATCTTTTATTTTCATATTGCAGAATGCAAATATAAATGGACAGCAGAACGTTCTGCTTTTTCTTTGGGCCAGTTGATGGTGGCGTGGGTGCAGTTTGGCGCTCCCCTCTGGATGGTACCCTAGGCAGCTGCCTAGTTTACCCGCAAGAGGGACCCCCACTGATGATTATAACTGGCAACTAATGAAAACCCCAAATTCAGTGACTCAGAATATTAGAATATTGTGAAAAGGTTCAATACTGAAGACCCCTGGTGCCACACTCTAGTCAGCTACTTACCTTAAAACACCTGCACAAGCCTTTAAATGGTCTCTCGGTCTAGTTCTGTAGGCTACACAATCGTACTGCTGACTGGTTGTTGTCCTAAAGACGACCATTGACACCTCGCACAAGGAGGTCACGGCTGGCTGTTCACAGAGCTCTGAGTCCGAACACAATAACAGAGAGGCGAAGGGAAGGACAAGCAATAGATAACAAACCCATTCAGGCACGTGGGGGAGATTCACAAAGAGTGGACTGCAGCTGGAGTCAGAGCTTCAAGAACCACCACACACAGACGTATGCAAGACATGGTTTCAGCCGTCCTTGTGTCCAGCCACTCTAGAACCAGAGACGGCGTCAGAAGCATCTCTCCCGGGCTAAAGACAACAGGACTGGACTGCTGCTGAGGGGTCCAAAGTTATGATCTCTGATGAAAGTAAATGTTGCATTTCCTTTAGAAACCAAGGTCCCAGAGTCTGGAGGAAGAGAGGAGGCACAGAATCCACCATGTTTGAAGTCCAGAGTAAGGTTTCCACAGTCAGTGATGGTCCGGGGCGCCATGTCGTCTGCTGGTGATGGTCCATCAGGTTTTCTGAGGTCCGAGGTCAACGCAGCCGTCTACCAGGAAGTTCTAGAGCACATCATGCTTCGTGCTGCTGACCAACTTTATGGAGATGCAGATTTCATTTTCCAAGGGATAGGGTTTGTCATCCTGAAGGATTATTTTCTGAAAGTTACTTCGGAAGTAAATATAAATCAATTGGAAGCTGGAGAAGATATTTTTAAGAAGACATCTATATTGATTAGGTATATCCAAAGTGACCTGGCTAATGCTGAGCTACCAGGTTACCTTTCAGTCCATGAATATGACTTGGAGGCAATGAAAGAAACGTGAGAAGCAGGATGTAGAAGAGAAGGCAGTGCAAGAAAACGCGGCAAAAACTCTTGAGTGACCACGCACCGCTTAGCAAGTCCAAATTTAAGCAAGCTAGCAATGAAAACATGTACAAAGCTTTTCTGGCCTTTAAACAAAGAATTTAGGACCGATCTGTTGCACTTGACAGAAACCTGGAAGCTTTTCAATGACTGCAAACACAAAAGCAACTAAATGAAATAACACGGACTGCAGTGTCCAAGTTTGGCCACGGTGTGTCCATATTTCATGCACTTTTAATCCAGAAACTGGGGCAAAAAATTTAAATCCTTCATTTTGCAAGTTCTCCCTTCTGAGTGGCCTAGTTTGCTGCAGTGGTTACCTGACAGGTATGCATTTATTCTTTGGGGTTAGGGTTAGTAATTCGATAATAAGCTGTTGAGGCTGACTGTTGGTGGGTAAACTCTGTGATAAAGAAGTGAGACATGAGCCAGTACAGTAGACCTGCATATGTTTATGCTCCATCACATCTCTGTACAAAGGCTGTTTGTGTTTCTTTATCTGGATATAGGTCAGTATGTACAGTCCCACTGATAGATTATATAGATGGTAATGAATACAGTATGGAGCCGCAGCAGGGTGGTGATGAAGACGGACTGGCTAGAGGAGCCTGGGATTGGAGTCTGCTGTGGAAGAGAGTGCCACTTAGCCAGAGAGAGAAGGCCAAACGAAAATATACCACCCAGCCTTATCGGTACTTATGAAAGCATGTTAAAGCTCATCTCAGATGTTTTTCTGTCTCCTTGTCCCACCTCTTGATCCCACCTGTTCTACCCTACACTGTGTCATGCACTGTCCCATCCCGTGTCCTTGTGACATTTCCTCGCATCTCCCTCCTGTTCGCTATCCCTACAACTCGTTCCCTTTCTTGTATCTTGTATGCATGTCCCCACCTTCATTCTGTCAGAACGGTTTGTACGGTGCCTTTGATCGACTCCATCCATGGACAGACTTTCGTCATCGAGCCCCAAGGTGGAGGAGACCAGAACGGTTTTGCTAGAGGAGCCTGGGATTGGAGTATGCTCTGGAAGAGAATTCCTTTGGGAGACAGGGAACAAAAACTCAGAAAAACTCAAACCGAGCCATATAGGTACACACATCTAATGCTTCCTGACTAACGCAGACACAGCCAACATGGATGACAAACAGGCCCTATTAGTATTGCTTTTAATGTTGTTTTCTAAGACCATCTAATATGCTGCCTGTCACAACTAACTAAATATGTACTATTTCCACCTACTATTGAGGATCTGTGCTGTTGTCTTTTTCTTCAGTGTGTAACCATGTGATGTTTACAGTGTTTGGGGCCTTTTTTTGTTTGACGTAATCTAACGTCGACTATATTTAGTTGTCAAAGTAAAAGCTCTCTAAATCCTAACGCTAAATGGTGATAGCAACCCAACGTCCTCGTATGGTCTTCAGAGGGTTAATGGGTGTCTGAAGGGTTTGGGGATTTGTTTCCTTCAGGACAACTCTGACTCAGGCTAAGGACTCTTCTCCTCCGTGTTTCCCTTTCACCTCCTTCTGCATGCTGTTGTCTGTTGGTCTGTGTTATTCTCATTGCCGTGAGTTCTCACTCTGCTTTATGGGCCTGAAACATGGATGCTAGCACTGAAATTGTAACAAGCTATTTATTGTTTAATATGGAGAAGGGGTGAGTGATATGGTGATTCAAAATCATGAAGTTCGGAATGAGTTGGTCATTTCTGAGCAGAGAAGATTGAGGACGTAGAACCGTTTCTGTTAGATGTGACACGCTCTGGGCCTGATCGTTTCAGTGTGTATTTAAACAAATTTAGCTCAAATATTTGTACTTGACTATTTTAATTTTTGTCTGATAACTGGACTTAAAGAGCAAGCCCCTCCAAATCAACCTTTTTTGCTGATAAACTATATAAATGAGTGTCTAATGTTGCTGAAGACACATGCACTCAGTAATGTGGCACTTTAGCGCCCCCTAGTTAAAATGTAAATATTCTGCTTAAACTGTCAGTGTTGCACCGTCTTCAGGTAAAAACTCTGCACTACATTTGAATTCAAATCTGCCACCGCTATTGGCTAAGATGTACTCGATGACGTTAGCTGGTATTTTATGATGTCACAATGTGGTTGTGAGCTTGTGTGTGTGTATTTGTTAGCGGCTCCGCCCTCTCGGTCTGCCAGACAACAGCATTTGTTGCAGTTTTCAAACATGAAGTGGGAGTGGAGTAAGACTCTGGTAGGGGGTGACTTGCTCTTTAAGTGACGTGGTGATTTACGTAGCAACTACGTGGCAATATATGGCAGTTACTAGCATGTGTTAGCTTAATAATGAGGAGTGTTTTTTAGCATAGAGGAAAAGGTGGTTGCATTCATGTGTGATGAAATAGTAAAAAAAAAAAATAAGTGAAGCCAAACAAACAGAGAAAACGTTGTTTGCCGTATCGCTCACCCCTAAGTTTGCATTCTTCTGCCTGATGATGCACCTGAGCAGTGTTTACATGGCTGCTTGTCTTTGTACCTGTAGATCTCCAGCAATGGCAGGAGGTCTCTTTGCTATAGAGAGAGATTTCTTCTTTGAGTTGGGTCTCTATGACCCCGGGCTTCAGATATGGGGAGGAGAGAATTTTGAAATATCATACAAGGTGGGTATGGATGAGTGTGTTCTGTGCATGCAGAGGGGGCTCCTTGATTCTTCAGCTTTTCTGAATGATGTCTGGATTTACATGTAGATCTGGCAGTGTGGGGGCCAGCTGCTCTTTGTGCCGTGTTCTCGTGTTGGCCACATCTACAGACTTCAGGGATGGCAAGGAAACCCTCCACCTGCACACGTTGGCTCCTCACCCACCCTCAAGGTGAGTTTACGCCACCTTAAAGGTGGAACTGCCATTTCCTTTTTTCTTTTGAAGGAGACATCAGACATTTGTTTTACTTGCAAGTCTCTAAAGCTAGGTTCACACTGCAGGTCTTGATACTCATTTACAGTTTTTGGGGTAAATCAGGTTTTTTGTGTGGCTGTTCACATCATACCTGAAATGCAACACCAGACTCTAGTGTGAAGGGTTCACAGCCCCAAACAACCTCCATGCGCAGAAGACGAGAAGTCTCAGTGGAGTGGGAACAGGAGAGGTGAAGGTGTGAACAGTTCATCCACACTGTCAGGATCACACCTGTTTAGTCTCTTGTTCTGGGCTGGAAGCGGTTTAAAAAACTATTTTATTCCTTATTCCCGTCTTCCTCCTGATTTAGCAGTAGCTGAAAATGTTCCCATAGTGAGTTAGTTCCTGAACAACTGAAGCACTTTCTTTTGTTTTCTACTTTTTTCTTTGACTATTTTTCTATCCTGTCTGTTTCTGATCTTCCTGCGTCTCCTCCCAGTCCTCTGCTGCCTGGCTTCCTCCTGTTTCACCTCATGAGTTACTTTTGAGCCAAGCAGATGAAAGGGATGTACAGACCGCACTCGCCGCCTAATCGGAAGGTTGCAGGTTCGAGCCTCGCTCAGTCTGTCACTGCCGTTGTGTCCTTGGGCAAGACACACTTTGCCTGCTGGTGGGAGGGACCGGTGACACCAGTGTATGGCAGACTTGCCTCTGTCAGTGCGCCCCAGGGCAGCTGTGGCTTCATCGTAGCTCATCCCCACCAGCGTGTGAGTGATTGTGTTGTAAAGTGCCTTGGGGGGTTCCAGGGCTCTAGAAGGGTCTATATCAACTACAGGCCACTTACATTTTTGTTAAATATTAAAAATTATAAAGTTTTTAGTGGCGCCACTTTGAGGATGCTCCTGTGGCCATGCGAAGGTTGCGTCAGCAATCAGCGCTCTGCGGTCCGTCCTCTCTGCTGAATCCTCAGCATGCTGAGTCCGTGTAAGTAACGGGTAGAAACCAGATCTTTTTGGCTCCTCTGGGTGTGTCGGTGTAGTGATTACAACTACCTCAGGGCCACAGACGTACGACACGCACACCAAATACGCTCTCACAGCTGTTTTATTGCTTAAAGTCACCCTTGAGCCTTCAGCGTCTCTCTTTGGGTGTCACAGGTCACCCACACACCTCCTCTTCCTCCTCCCTCGTTATATAGGTACACAGGTGCGCCGATTACTAATGAACCCTGCCCCTCCCCAAGACCCAGCACACCTCCACACCCCCCCACTGCCTGACTCCAGCCTAATTTGAACTTCTCCGCCTGCGCCGGGACGAACACGCAATGCCATTATGCTGTTAGGCTTGTGGCGGTAAGACAGAGACGGGCCCCAAACTTTACCTGTTGAAAGAGACGGAGACCGCGAGCTTGTGATTGGTCAGGATGCTGCTTTCTGTTTTCATTCGTCAACACTCCCTAACATGTTACTCCCTAACATTTCCCAAGTCAAACATGTGATGTACCTTTCTCTTAGGTGGCAAAAGGCACATCTCAGCTCAGAATGGCGTCAGAGCGGTCATCAGTGCCACATCTGAGATATTTATTTAGCTCTAGTTTAGCAGTGGGAGATATTGAACACATGCATTTGCTACTGAAACACATTGTTGTTCTTCCCAACACAACTACATATGTACATCTATGTAATCAGCACCAGTCTTAATGCCAGTAACAAAAAGCAGTTTTATTGATGGATTTTTAATGTTATCAACTGATTTCCTTCTGCAGGCATCCTCCATCACTAACGTTACTGTTGTTGTGTGTTTGAACAGAATTATGTCCGTGTGGTGGAGGTTTGGTGGGACGACTATAAGGACTACTTCTATGCTAGTCGTCCTGAAACTCTGACTCTGGCCTATGGAGATATAAGTGAGCTCAGACAATTCAGGTACAAACATGAAAATAGGCATTCTAGTCTATTAATGCTGACTTTGTAGAGGATATTATAGACAATTCACAATAATTGAGGTGTTAGTGTTTATGCTCCGATCGTGTGATTTCAAAAAATCAGAGCTGGTGAAAAAGATTGGCTTTAGCCTTATAAAACAACAAATCTGACGTTTTAAATTCATCCTGAGACAGAGATGTTCAAATGGAACAACAAGGGCTTAGTTTTAATCTCAAGTTCTTCTACATTAGTATTCTTTATTTCCTGGAAGAAAACAACACCATTACCTCACACAATTTACGGCAGGCGCGGGTTCAGACACCATAACGTGCAGCTGTTAGCTAGTAGGCTAACTCAGAGCTAACGTGTCCCTCCAGATAGCTAACTGTTTGTGTTCTGGTGGTATTCTAAACCAGACAGTGAAGGCAGTAAATCAGACACTTGTAATGTGTGCAGATTGCATATTTGACATGCTAGAAAAGACAGCTTCATGAGAAGCTGCCTTCAAAACTAACTACTTGGTCTTTCGGGTCTTTTCTCTTGGCTACGCCAGAGCGAATCATCGGTCGTTGATAAGTCTTAGTTCACAGCAACATCTCTAACAGAACACAGAGCCGTCCAATAGTGAAAGGTACGTTAATAAACCGAGAAATTGTTGACGGACAGCAAAACGTCGAGGTTTCTCATTCTGCAGCATCTGAGCCGACCGCACCAATCATAGATGGGAATACACAGATGCACCATTGGGCATTGGATTGCCGCCATATTGGGTGTTTTTCTCACTCTCCAATCCCAACTGGAGTACACGTTTTAATTATCATGCCATACCATACATCTGATTTGGTTGAAACTTCTAACAAAAATAATAAGAGGAGAGACGATGATTACATAGGTAGGATGCTGAGATTGGAGCCAGCAGTCAGGAGGGCATGAAGTTAGTTTTTGTAAGGTAGAGGATGTACACGACAGGACCCAATGAAGACAGATGATCGTTGTAAAGACCCCTGAAGGAACAAGTTCATAGAGAAAGAGGATTTTAGAGGATTAGGTATTGGAGAGAGGACGCTGCAGCCCAAACATTAAACAGCTCTGGTAACTGGCCCCAACAAACGCGATCTTACTCTGAATCCCACAGACATTCACCGACTACACAGATACATCCCTGAGCTGCAGATCAGCTGATGGCTATTTAGCTGATCTCCTATTAGATCAGATCATCCAACTCCTGTCGATTTTAACAACCACAATAAAATAAATACTAATACTGTCCCGTTGCTTTCTTTGGGATTGAGAGGTGACAGTGACTTACATCGTTTTCTGTGATCATCACTGGATTAAAAGCTTCTTGTGTTTGGGCCCAACTGGTTTTAGAGAGGAGCATCGGTGCAAGAGCTTCAAGTGGTTCATGGAAGAAATAGCTTACGATATTCCACTGCACTACCCTCTTCCTCCAAAAAATGTTGAATGGGGGGAGGTAAGCAAACACAAACCGCACGATCTGCTATCATGCTCTACTTCCTGTAACAGCTGTCTGTAATTTATCTGGTACTGTGTGTTCAGATTCGGGGCTTTGAAACGAGCTACTGCATCGACAGTATGGGACACACAAATGGAGGCAATGTGGAAATCGGCCCCTGCCATAGGATGGGGGGCAACCAGGTAACAAAACACTTCACGTGTTGTTCAGTGGCCAAAGTGACTACACTATACAATCTACCCCTACTAATGCTGTTCCATTTGACTCATTCACTGCCAGCCGTTTCCTGATCGCTAAAGCCCTTCGCTGCCAGCGTTTCTCACCGTTTTTACAGTTTTTTTCAAGAGTCACAGAACGTTGCGCGCTAGGATGATGTCGACGCCAAAACAAAGAGGGGACTCACCTCTTACATCAGGAAGAATCCGCGCGTTTCGAGCGTTATCCGTTCTTTCATCATCCGTTGTTGAATTGTGATCGGCAGAAGCTTTTCCGGTTCTGCTTCCTGATCACGTGACGTATGCGGATGAAGATTGGCTTTAGAGCTGGGATGTTTGTTCTCAGGGTGTGGGGGCTCGTCCGACGCCCTCACAGTAAAAACATGCAAATGATGACTTAAGACGTCATTGGCAGTGAATGAGTTAAAGAGGAGAGACCTCTCAAACCAATATCAGCTGATCCGAGAGCATCGATCTGGCTCAGTCTGTTCAGAGCTCGTCATTCTCACAGGAAGTGAACAGAAGAAAACAGAAACACCGTCGTAGACATCATGGAGATTAATACTGAAAGGTTCGTAACTACAAGAAGACAAAAACATCAAACTCGTTTAAAGTAAATATTTGAAACCAGCTGAAAGAAAACTTGCAGAGCTCTACTTTCCACCTGATGTGAAACTGCCGCGAAACATTCTTCAGGATAATTAGCCGCCATTATAGTTGCCACGTTCCTCTTCAGTGGCCGCAGTTTTGAACACGGCTCAGAAGCATATGGACAAGCTGCTTAAATATCACGTCTATATTTTACGTGCTACGCTCCCAGAACACGTCAAAACGCCACAGTTTAGATCGGGCCAGACAGGAAGTCAAACATGAAGGCAGCGTACATGGAGCTTTTGGGTAAAACGCCTCGATTACGGTACACGCTGCGGCCGCACCCGGAGGAAAGAAAGGTTAGGTTAGATGTTTTTACTGTAAACTACAGTGCAACAGTGTCCACGAGGAAATCTTGGTCCTTATACAGACCCCTCATATCCGGGAGGCTCATTATTCATATCAATAATTAGCATTGTTGTGTCGATTAAGACAAATTGTAAAACTTTCTGTGTAGTTGTTCCGCATCAATGAAGCGAACCAGCTAATGCAGTATGACCAGTGCCTGACCAGAGGAGACAACTCGGCTGTCATCATCACACACTGCGACCAGAACCAGCACACTGAGTGGAGCTACTTCAAGGTTAGATCCACAAACCCTGTAATGTTAGATATATAGTATGTTTGGTTAAGTAAAAAGCCATTTTTATTATTACCACTACTGGTGACCAATAAGTGGTGATACTCTATTTAACTAGAATATCTCCTGCTTGGTCTTCTTGTTTTAGTCAGAAGATTCTAGCATTCTTTCATTCATTAAGGGATCGTACGCACGTCGTTGGATTCAAGAAACAGTCAGGTTTATAAAATTCAAGATTTTATTTTACAAACAATTAAGACTTGACAAGCTGGTGAAACTATTGTACTGTGAGTGGATGGAACTAAGGACGGTGTCTGGAACTTATGTGTGAATATAATGCACCTTCTGCCCTATCTCGAAGCTTCCATTTTTACCTAAGCTCCCAAGAAAGCTTCTGACCATTTGCAGACTT